TCAAGGTCGGTGCGCCGGCTGAAGGTCGCCGGTCACGTGACGGAGGGTGCTCACCCCCTCGCGGCGCCGTGCACGTCTTACTCTGCGCCCTACGTTGTTTGGCGATACAGTCGAGTCGACAAGTGATTGCAGTTAAAAATAATTGAAACAGCTTAATATAGATTATAGAAAATATTTTTTCTTATTTCTATAATATGTCTTGGTAAATTTACTACAGATGACAAATGACGATCGAGTGAAAATGTATGAAAGTAATTTAGAACAGAGTATGTAAAAATAAAAAAATAGTTTTTTACGTTATAACACCTTAAAATCTAGTACAGTTCGTTATAGATAGCCTTCACATAGATGTAACGGTACAACGTTTCTAAGAGAACAACTACGCATTTGGTATGCGATTATCATAATGCCGGCTTCATTTTGACACAACTATTGTAAACACGCGTGTATTGTTTCATATTTGCATTTTAACGTAGAATTGCTTGTATTTCCTGTATTTAAACATTTAAATAACATTTTTAAGGTTAAGAATCTATAATAGGTTGAAATAAAAATAAATCTATAGCCAACTAAATAATTTAAGCTTTATTATGAACAAGGACTTGATTTCTATAAACATTACATATATTTAGGCACCCATGTTTTTGGGAGAATCTTAAAAAATCGTTACATGTAACCGTAAAAGTTAAAGGAAAATTAATCTTATAAGATTTAGTGCAATTAAGAATTCATTTCTCATAGAACTTATTATATTTTCATACTAGTAATTTACCGGGAATGCTTGATTATACAATCTTATTAATTCATTAGATGTTAAAAGCATTTACGTCATAAAAGATTTGGTAGTTTGTTACCGTATGCTATTATCAAAACTACGAATAAATTTGCAATAAACGTACCAAAAATAGGTACTATTTGACCTTGCCTGTCTTGTGCTTTGGTATTTATATGTATAAGAAGTAATATAACATACTTGTTGACCTCTAAAAGCGGGCGCACACCTTTGACTAAACTATCGCATTGTTGTGCGATTGTCGATTGTTTCGCAGCCAATTCAACTGTTTAGTTGCACAACTAAAAATCGAGTAGCGCGACATATAAGTTCATAGGAATCAAAGCGAGACTAAACAGTTATGCGATAGATTAGTTTCAAGTGTACAAACGTTCTAAAGATAAAACGCCAATAGCCTCAAAGGTATTATAAATGTACAGGACGGAGTACGGACTGCTGGTCTTTCTTTCTTAGAAACCATAATCCTAGAACATAGAACGCTTGATTTTCTACCTAAATTAAATGACAACTATTTCTCTTTGTAGTAAAAAGAAGTTATCTTTAGCGAATACTGATTTCTTACTATCATATGTATTATTTACGGTAAATAAGAAAATAGAAAGTTAAACCAGACAAAGAAGGTAATTATTTAAACATAAATCACAACATCATTCTCTGTACTCTACGTCTGTTGTTTTTTTATCTGTACCATTATAACAGTTATGGTTAGGGCTGCCCCAGAAATGAATACTTGTATGTTAGTGCTATGAGTTTGTCTTCAAATAAAGTGACCAATGAAACAAATCACTACAGTCCTTTTTACGTCATACGTTAAAATACAAAAGTTATTTCTCATTTTTCGATGGATTATTTTCTTTTTTCGTGATATTGGCAGCCCTGGTTATAGCGGCAATTGAGTCATAACATCGTCTATGGCTAGAGCAGACACGCCCTCGAGCATGCTAACAATTTCGTCAGTCACAACTCACAACTTACCTTTGTTTACGTAGGCGGTAATTGTACGCTCGATCTGGAGCAATTTTAATACACACGAAGCTAGCGTGACTTTTAAACATGTTAATAATGTATGTATGCATGGTTTATTGAAAAAAAAATCATATAATTATAACGAAAGAGCCTATGTTACAAGCACGATATGTTTAAAAATGACAGGCTTATATAATTAAAAATTCGCAAGCAAAAAGTTTTCGCAAAGCTAGAATATTTAAGGCACAAAGTTCCATATAAACACTATTCTAAATAAACTATTATAATCTATACTATTATAATAAAGCGTAAACACACACTTCTTTGTTGCCTAATAAGCCAGCAACTACAGCATATTTTTGAATAGTTCTATTTTTTATAAAAAGACCTACACTTACGTCACGCTTTAGTCAATATTTCACGCCATTAAACTTATGGGGTAAATATTTTGGATCAAAACCCCCTAATATGGGAAAGAGTAAGTTGCTGCCAACATGAAGGAAGCAAGGTTGCCATGGTTTGTCATAATGTCATATCATTTTGACATTTACAATTGATAATTTTAAACACGTAAAAAACAAAATAAAATCGCAATGATTTTATGCGGATGAAGTCGCCCGGGAACAGCTAGTATCTTATAAGATAATTCCTTAATTACATCATCGACTTAAATACTAATTTAATATTATCGCAATACATTTTGTTATCTCAACATCTGTATTAACCAAGCCGCACCTACCAGTGTTAGTTGCATTACAGAATGTCGAAACAGTATCGGTCTTATTGTTTGCCGGATGGAATTGATTAATCGCCGTGGCTTAATTAACCTTTAAATCAACACATTAGTAGAATTACTTGTATCGTGTCATCAACAAATACCGTATCTAGTAGATTATGGTGTACTTGCTGTTCCCATGCGACTTCATCCGCATGAAATTATGAAAATTTTATTTTATTATTCACATGTGTCAAATTATCAATTGCAAATTTCAAAATGACATGACGATGGAAACCTTGCTTTCTTGATATTGGCAGCAACTTATGGTCTCTTTCCCATATTAGGGTTTTTGTCCAAAATTTTTACCCCCTTAGTTTAATGGCGTGAAAATATATAGCCTAAAGCGTGACGTAAGTGTAGGGCTTCTTATTAAAGGGAGCATTATTCAAAAATATGTTGTAATTGCTGACATCTTAGGCAACAAAGAAGTGTATGTTTACGCTTTATTATATTAATATAGATGTATAAATGGACACAACCTTGAGTTTCCTCGTTAACCTGTACATTGCTATTTTATTTTTTTCTTTTGAATGAATGAGTTCTCGTCTCGATTGCCCAAAAATCTGAAGCACATTTTAAATTACCTCTAATACAATTGCACATCGCGTACTCGACCCCGAAATTTTTATTGACAGAAATAGACTTGTTTTGACGCTCTCTTGGCATTCGGTCGCTGCTTTTGCCTTGATATCTAGTCTGTATTGTGAGAATAAAATTTTAGATGTGCCATTTTATTGACTTGTAAATTACAGATAAAAAGGTGTGTTGATAGTTTTATATTAACGGCCACTCTTATTATATATATCTCAACAGAACGCGTAGTTTCAAATGTGTTGTTTTATGAACTACTACACGTATAAACAAATGATAATTCAGCATGCTACTGCAAATGTATAAGTATATGTAATAGACTTCTAAACTCCATTAGGTAAGGATATATAACAATTTATATACTCTTCAAGAGAAAGGCTTGTATCCCTAGCATTGTGACATACGAGAAGAGGTTGGTGTTTTATGAATAGAGATGTAAATGCATAGATAAGTCGGAGCCAAATCTGTGTCATGTTTTTCGTGCGTAACGCACACATTTGTACCTACGAGTATATAGTTGTGTTGGTACTATGTAATACATTGTGTTAAGATATCGTAAGACGATCTGTATCCGCTATGAATAGAAAATTTGTTAACAAATCAATTTTATTAAATTACTATCCTAGTTTTCGCATTAAAATTAATTAGTAATAATTGTAAATCGGCTTTTTTTTAATTGTTAGGTTACAACAGAAAACATGTAATTATGGAGGTAATGTTTATACAACCGAAGTTTAAAACATGTCTACCATAAAATAAAAAGTCATGCGAAATTAATAAAATAAATGTCGTGCGCGAGTGTACTCTCACTACTTTCACGTGTGGCTGTGTGTATAAGTTGTCTGTGTGCGCGGCGGCCGGTGACCTTGCTATCAGGCGGAAGCGCGCGGCCGAGTGAGTCAGCGTCAGCGCGCGTCTGCCGAGAGAGAGCAGGGACCTTCACGTTGTCTATTCCTACTAGCTTTTTTGTACAGATTAATTATTACCATAGACGATTTGATATTTTTTCAATAATGATATGTAAGGAAAATAATGCCATAATGATTTAATGTTTACTTTTCTCTTTATTCATCAAATCTACTGCAAATCTTTTGAATGTGTACAATTAAAAAAAAACAACATGACGAAATCATTGCTCGGTATTTCACAATGCTTTTATT